ATCCATTCAACACTTGATGGACATTTGGGTTGCTCCCACCTTTTGGCTCTTGTGAATGATGCTGCCATAAACATTGGTGTGCAGTTTTATATGGACATACATTTTCATTTCTCTTGGGAATATGCCTAGGAGTGGACTGGTTGCATCATATGGTAACTCTATGTTTAACTTTATGAGCAACTACCAAACTGTTTTCCAACATGGCTGTGCCATTTTACCTTCTCACCAGTAGTCTCTGGGGGTCTGTTTTTGCACATCCTTGCCAGCACTCATTATCACTTACATGGCTGAGTTTAGTCCACTAAGCAAAGACATTCTTTTTCTAGTGCCTAGCCCTCTTCGGGAAGATCCTGCTATAATTCTACCACTTCCCCTCTCAATGTTTCTCTCCTGCCTGGCTGACCATTGTCCTCTTTTCCCTGGCCTATATAATCTTGTCTGGTGTGGCCTCACCCTGGGTCTCAAATCACCAAACTCTGCTGCCTAGAAGGACTTCCCTGCAAGGCTCCATCCTCATTTGTGATGTTTCCCCTCAAGGCTAGCTTTCCTTACTGTATGTTTTTGTCCACCAAACATATCTATATATGTCTGAACCTCTATAATTAACAGGCATCAGGATCTGGTCTGTGAGGCCCCTGGGCCCAGAAAGAGCAAGGAAGTGAAAAATGTCTCTGCGAGCCCTAAGAATGTGGCTAAGTTTCAGTTTTTGGATGCCAAGCACACGGAGGAGCTCTGGAATGTGCATGGGGGGGACCCTCACTTCCAAACCAGGAACAGGGAGAGAAAATGGATAGGAAGGGGGGAAGTGGTTATACAAATGAAGATTCAGAGCCAAAAATGTCAATAGAAGATAATAGAGTGGCTCTGATATTTTCCTGAGCATTACTCAGAAAATGTGAGGGCCCAGGTGAACTTTCCCCAGGCAGCAGGAAGCATCAGTGTGCCATGTTGTGGAGTGATATGCAAGGACATCAAGGCTCAATGAGCCCATTGCTTTGACATAACCATGAACCAGTAGGTAACTTCACACCCCATGCCCTTCCCACCACTCTGCTGTTCCCAGCTGTCTTCTGCTGTCAGCCTCAGAGCTGACGATGGACACCACGTATGTAATATGCTGTCCAACAAGGGCCCTGATACTAACTACAAAGAGAACACAGGCATAAGCCAGGACCATCCCTGGCAAACCGGATGGTGGTCAGAGAGCCAGAGGGAGAGGCTGGTCAAGCACAGCCTGGCAGAAGCATTGTCCAAGCAGAGGAAGAACAGTTCAGCACTGACATGGGTGCCCTGGAGGTGGGGCTCTCATGGCTTCCACAGTGAATGTGATGCTGGGGTCGCGGGGAAGCACAGAGGGCACCACTCACTATCCAGATACAAAGACACAGGAAGCTGCACCTTGATGTTGTCAGGGATCCGCACCATGTCTGTGGCTTCATGCTCTCTAGAGCCTGGTCTCCCCTCCCTTCTGTGCTAGCTGTTTGGCCTGGGCAGTGGTGGCCTTTGTTTCCCAGTACGAGGTCCCACTTGCCCGGCCTTGGAGAGTGGGCAGTGTGTGCGGGCTCCAGGCACGTGGGGACTGCAAGTTCAAGCTGCCTTTGAAGTCTGTCTTCCTCACCAGTCTACCCGTCAGCCGTCAGCCTCACGGTGCTGACAGTGGGTAAGGGACATGTTTGGACAAGGTAGGGGCAGACGCAATGGGCATTTATCTAGCCTCATGCTGGTGTCCCCCTGGCCTCTGTGCTGGAGACCCAAAGACAAATCACACTCCCAAGGGGAGGACAAATATATCAAGAAATTACTGCAAGGATGATGGCGGAAACACCACTGTATGACATCATCCACTTCCTTCCCTGTGCTCTAGTGCTTTTATAAGCTGCCTCCTGCTGTGCAAGCATCTCCTTAGGCTGCACTCAGTCTCAGTGTGGGGTTTATTGATGTGGCTAACGCCACGCTGGGCATTCGCTGTGCTGCTTGCTTTCCCACTCAGTGATAGGGTTTAACGTCTAGACATGCTGCTGCTCATGGGCCTCAGTCTTTTTATTTGCTTCACATTATCCCTCCAAATGCATGCCTTGCCCTTCAGCCAGCTGTTCAGTCTTCACTGGGATTTGGTCCCTCATAGTCCCAGGGGGTGAGGGGCAGGCATTGCCCTAGACAGAGGGAGAGTCTGAGGGCGATGCAGCTGCAGCAGGAGTCTTGGCCAATTCCGAGGAGCCCTGGAGCAGGAAGGCCCTTCAGAATTACCCCATATTGAAGCCAGAGGCCTTTCCACTATAAAGGTTGTGGTATAGATGTCTATTGTCAGAGCCAGCCTGGTCTGGGGGTGCCCCGGCCTCCCTCTCTGGCTGTCCTCTCAGTCCCTCCACTCCACTCCCTCCCCACTGTCTCTGTGTGGCCTGGGACTTCTGCTCACCATCCCTGAGTCTCTCTGTCCCCTGCTCCGGTCGGGACAGTAGGTCACATGAGAGCTCAGAACAGCCCTCAGTCTTGCCAGCCATCACTTTGCTATGTGCGATGATGGCAATGCCACTGCTCTCACGTGGCAAACAGGAGCATGGTTAGAAACTACCTGCAGGGTGAAGGTGGGCCTCAGGCAGAGGGCAGGTGCTACAGTCAGAGTCCACAGGGTGGTGCTGTTGCCTTTCCATCTCCGGCTGGGTGACCTGCTGGAAACTGGTGAGGATGCCGCCCGAGAACACTTCTGGGGCTGTTCCTTGTATGTCCTCTGTCCTGTCCCTCATGGTCACCCACCCCAGTCTGTCCTGAGCCACAGGCTGTGTCAGCCCTCCAGGATAGACAGACACCAGAGGCTCACGGGCCTTGTCCTGGGGGACTTGCTCCCTCAGGAAGTTCAAGACAAGAGGCTGTCAGATCTCCTTCCCGGGCCAGTGACAACTATGATAGACGCTTGGTGTCCTCAGAGCCAGGAAGATCCGCCCCAGAGGCTCAGGAAAGGGTCAAGGGGAGACACTAAAGCAGGGTCCCAGCAGGTGGAATGAGGGTGGGGCGGCTCAGACGGTCACCCAAAGGCCAAGAACAGGGGATTCTGGAAGGCATTTGGCTGTTGGTGGCAGCTGAGCAGGAACAGAGTGGAGCGGAGGCTGGGACTGTGTTGCCCAGCACGCCCTGCGAAGGTGATGCAGGGCCAGATGTGTGTCTGAGCAAGAGCCAGGCCTCTCCTCTGACACGTGTGCAGGGTGAGGGTGGCACGGCGGCTGATTATCCGTGGTCACTTAAAAATACCTGCATGCATGCCCACACCCATGCCCACATAGCCACACACACACACCCTTACACAGACATGTCCACCTGGCAGGGCGTAGGGCTACTGTCCATGATGTCCCCACCCCCACTGCAGCGCTTCTCTACCCCCTCCCCTTTGCCCGCCCACTGAAAGAATGGCCTTAGGGAGGGGTGGGCAGGGTGTGGGGCTGAGGGACCACCGGGCCCAGGTCTCACATCCACAAAAGGCCACAGAGTAGACTTTTGACTTTATTTCCAATAAAACTCTGATGCAGGCATGGAAACACATCGTTGGGACAGGAAGATACCCACCCATCTTTATGACTGAGCACACTGTCATACCAGGAATTTGTATTTTCTAAAACTCTAGTAATCAATGGTGTTTCATTGCAATTTTATTTTAAAGCTGTTCCTTGACTCCATGTAAACATTCAGCACAAACCTTTATTTTTGTAACACCAGAGCTTCCACCAGTGGCATGGCCCGGGTCTCTCTAGGCCTCTGCTGGGATGGGCCCTGGCCAGTGGTCAGAAGGCCTTCGAGCGGGGTCTTCACCACTCCCAGACTCTTCCTCACCCCCTCTCATTCCATGTGAGCCTTGAGTCAGAGGAGGAAGAAATACAGAGAACAGAGGCCGTGTCCTCCTGGGTCAGTGAGGGCTGGCTCGGCCCATGCCCACACCACGGCCTAGATCGCGGCTCTGGACACCAGGAGGCAGCACAGCCTGTGCTGGGGAGCTGGTTATGCCAAGGGAAGGACTGCAAAGATGCAGGCCACAGGTCCCAGCGGTCAGGGCAGCTATGTCTGCCCTCCCAAACCACACAAGGCCTGAATGCATGGGCAGCAAGTGGCCGTGTGAACTGTTGGCCATATGAGCACCGTGCCAGCGGCCCCGTGGCTGCAGCACTGTATACACTGCGGCCAAGTGCGCTGCCCCGCTCTCTCCCCTGCAGTTGGTTTCAGGCACCTTCCCAGTGACTCTGGGGTGAGGTTAAAAAGCACTGGCCACTGCGTCAGCACGGCACTGAGCAGCCAGAACATGCCCTGAACATAACCGGCAAGCCAGTCCCGCTGGCAAATACCGGCCAGTCTCAGGCCAGTGCCCGCGCCCCCCACCTCCTCGCAGCTAACTGATCTTTAGCTACAAGGTGATCTGCTATCCTGTGATGGACACTTGGGAAGATCCTAGACATGAGCAATAGATGGCCCTATGGAAACCTGTGAGGTGGAGTCAGATTTCTGATGGGTGCCACTTGACCTGTCTGAGTTTGGGGTTCCACATATATAAATTAGGGGGTCATAACACTGTCTCACTGGGTTTGGGGATGAAATGACTGGTGTAAGCACTTGGTCCATTTCTTTCCCTCACGGTCCTCAAGGTTATTGGAATAAGCCCCAGTCCCTTTCACGCCTTAATTTCTATAAATCTCTACACTTCACTGACTTGTCTAGATGCCTCAGGCTCACTTTGTTCAGTGTTCTGCTGACTCTGGATTATTTTTTTCATGTTCCCTTTTTGTCATCTCCCTTTCCACCCCAACAACCCTCCGGGTGGCCCTGTTCTCTCCAGGCCTTACCTCCCTGCCATCGCCCTCCTGCCGTTACACCCAGCGGAATGCGTGGGGTGGCCTTGAGAGGGATGGATGTGACAGTTCCCTTTCCTTCTCCAGGCTGGCATGCAGACGGACCTTGGTCCCTGTCGCAGGACCTCCCCTTCGCCGCTCCAACCTGGCCTCCCCCACCCGCAGGCGGCATTACCTGCACCCACACTCTGCCACGCTCATCCCTTCGTAGTGGTACTTGAGGGTGGGGACCCCCATGTCATCCTTGTAGAGGATAGAGATGGGGCTTAGTTTGGTGGGCACACAGCAGGCCTTGCCCACCTTCATGGGGAACTTGAGATGCACCAGGGTCTGCACGATGGCGTGTTTTGTCGGGGTCACGTCATCGGCCAGGGGGAAGAAGCAGCCTCCTCTACACTCGAAGGCGTCGTATTCCTTGGGTGCGATGATCCAGTTGTCCCAGCCGATGTCCTTGAAGTTCACTCGCAGGGAGGTCTTCTGACAGTGGTTGTTGGCCCCAGCGCTCCTCTTCCGTCTGGCTAAGGAGGACCCCTTGGCCACGTGGCTTTCCACGTCCCCCGCGCCCTGGTTCCCAGCTGCCTCTGGGCCCTGGGTGGACAGCTTCTTCAGCACGCTCTCCTGTTCGTGGCCAATCATCTCCCTGAGCTCCAGCCGGGTCTCCTTCGTCCCATTGCTGCGGTCATTGGAGAAAACCACGAAGAAGGGCAGGTTCCTGGAGCCGGGGGGGACGCTGATATCCAGCTTGTGGCAGCCTTTTCGGTGACTCTGCACCATCACTTCCAGTTTGTTTTTGCTCTTGGTGGCGTCGGCCCTGACCCACCGCTTTACGGCCCTGGAGATCTCGAAGGTGGCCCAGCCCTCGCCCCGGATGTCCTGGGACAGCAGGAAGGCCTTGGCTTCCGCAGAAGCGTCCCCTATGTCTGCTCCATCCACAACATCGTAAATGGTTATGCTTCCCTTCCGCTCAGGAGAGGGCGTCTCGTGGCCTTGGCAGGAGCTGTAGAGCCGGAGCTCTGCCCTGGTGATCTGCTCGTGTCTGGGGATGGAGATGTTGAAAAGCAACAGGTGCTTCTGGAAGGGGAAGTCTTGTGTGGCGGATACAGAGACGGCATCTGAAATACAAACACACAATAAGAGCATCTGCGGGGAGGGTCTGGCTCGGGACACCAACCTGACACTCACAGGGGGATGAAAGGGCTGTCAAATCTCTATTTGGTTTCACGTAAGTCCTCCGTGTAGAAGAGGCGTCTGAGAGGTACACTTAGAATCATGCAGAGCAAAGCAGATGAGGGAGAAGCTGGCAATGGAGTGGACAGGCCCAGGTTCTACCAGGCGCCCCCAATTGCAGTGGGGACTCGGCACATATATTTCATATGACTCTTCACGAGGATCTATTGTTATTTCATTTTTACAGAGCGGGTATGGGTTTAGGGTGTTTAACATCCAAAGTGCTCACGCTCTGCAAAGATCCTCAGTTTAAAAAAAAAAAAAAAAAAAAAGCCAAATACAACAGCAATGGAACGGCCCTCTTCTGAGAGCTGACCCTGAGTGTATGATTTTAAACGATGGTGCATGTAACTTGGCCAAACTGTCCTGGCTCGTACTAGATGCCCAGTCAGTATTTCTGTGTCCTCCCAGGGCCTCCGCCCACCGGTGCATACCCTGCCCCGCAAGCACTTGGCCTTTCGCGCAGTTCTCTGTGGTCCCCTCACAGCTGTCCGGGCCCCACAGAGCTCCTGAGGTGCTTTGGCATATTGAGTAATGGGGGTCTGAGAGCAGAGCGCTTTTAGGGGCCTCGTGCGCTCCTGCTGACCTGCCTTGGCAATGGCTGTGGGCTGCAGTCAGACGTCTCAAAGGGCAGATGCATGGCCTCTACAGGAGTGCTGGCCAGCAGCAGAGCTGTGGCCGTCAGAGCACTTGTTTCCAGGGCCCAGATATGCTGCGAGTGGGGCGAGGTGCCCCTAAGATAACTCTAAGCGTTGGACTCCCGGACTGTGGGGTTCAATGGCTAGGTCCAGCCACGGAAGCCCTAAAACAGAGGACACAGACATACGCTGGGGGCCTGGTGAGATGCTGGCAGGTTGGAGTAACAGGATAAAGCCAGTGTTTTAAAACCAAGCAAGTTCACATAAAATCTAGATTTTTCTTTTGGGAAATCAGACACTGCTGAACAGGCATTGTGGGCACAGCGTTCTCACACGGGCCTGGCGGCTGTGGCAGGAGCAAGGCCTGCAGGAGCCCCGGGCCCCAGCCCAGGGCGGAGAAGAGAGACCGTGCCAAGGGGCCGTTCAGAGGGAGAATGCCCCAGCAGGAGGAGGCCCACAGCCACGCAGGTCTCCCACTGCGGCCAACAGAGCTGCCAGCCTCACCCCTGCTCAGTCATCTCGCCTGCTCTGTGTGAATGAGTGACATAGCCCTGAGTCAATGTCGGTCCTCTTCCAGTCCTCCTAGATCAGGGCCATTCTTATATATTTAGGAAATAATTAAATAGTCCTCCAGTGTTAATCTCTCAGAGGCATTTATATGAATTTTCTATGCCTTTTCATGAGAGAGATGTTCTCTCAAAGTTTAAAAACATACCAGGGGCTGGAGGCCCAATGTGCAGTCTGTTTCTGGGTGGGAAGGGAAATAAGGGAGGGAGGGGGGTTGAGGGCATAGCCATGCCCTCAGCTCCCACCAAGCCCAGGAGCCCAGGCCCAGGGGTCTCCCCCAGGCAGAGCTGCCAGCCCTGGTCCTGCAGGGAATCCGTTAGCCTCACTCCACTGCCGGGCACTTGAATGGAAACCAGTGAAACTAAAAACTAAGTTACCCATTTGATTTCATTCTAGTGAATTTAAATGGAAACGTAAGGATCTCCTGTGGCCAGTGTCCCCCAGAGCGGGCAGTGCAGCTATGGACACTGCATCCCCCAACCCCGACCCGCAGCGCCCTAGGGGTGGACTCTACCTTCCACGCTGAAGCTGCGCACGATGTTGGACGCGGGGGTGGACGACTTGTCGGCGGTGTACCGGTGGTACAGGTCGATCATGTACTGCGGCGGCTCCGTGCGGGTCCTGTCCTGGGCCGGGACGCCGCTCAGGTTGAGGCTGCGCAGGAAGTCCATCTTCATGTTCTCCAGGAACAGCCTCAGGTCGAAGGCACCTCCCGCCTGCTCGCCTCCCGGGGCCGCGGGCAGTCGGGCATCTCCCCTGGCAGACCCCAGGGCCCGGGCCTCCAGAGGCTTCCCCTGCCCGGAGCAGGCCAGCAGGGAGAGCACGGGCAGGGCCACCCACAACGCCCCCAGGCACATCTTGAGACAGCACAGGGTCCCCTGGGCGGGAGACGGCGCTGGCCACCTTGTGTTAGCGGGTGTGGGCAGGAGCCCGGGAGGAGCAGGCCCGCATTGTCCCGCCGACCACTCTGCGCCCAGCGCCCGGCCGTTCCCAGGCTCCCGCCGCCCTGAGTCCTCTGCTTCTTATCTGGCCCCGATGCCGGCTCCCACCTCTTATCTGAGCGGCAGGAGCTAATGAAGGCTCTGTAAACACCGGACAAGCACCCGGGCTGTGGGAAGAGCACGGTCAGCTGCAAAGAACCCGGATTTCTCTGGGGTTATCGCCCCTAATTGGGATCTTCCTCGTTTCCTTGCCAGTTCTGTTCAGGGAATCTCAAGGCAGGGTGACACGGCTCTGTCTGCTGGGCCACAGGAGCCAGAGACGCAGGAAGCAACATGACCAGGAAGTCCTCAAAAGAAGCAGCAGCACAGCCCCAGCTGCTGAGACCTCGGCTGAGCTGGTGCTGGCTGTGCCCTGCAGGATGGAGGCCACACTCTGGGGAGGTCAGACCTGCAGGTGCTCACGCACTTCAAGCCTCGGGGCTCATTGGTCAGCTGGCTCCTGGGCATTAGAGACCACATGAGGAGTGGCGTATGGTTCGGTGAGGCTAGGGGACATTGGCTGAGGATTCCAACCCAGCTCCTCACTCCCCCAAGTGCTCCGTGCTCTCAGCGTCCAGCTAAGAGGAGAGTCGCCGGACGTGGATGCTCAGGTGCTGGAGCCACGCCGCCCCTGCACACTCTGGTCCGTGACAGGGCTGCTTGCTGCCTGTCGCTTCACCCAGGCCTGACTCTGCTGGGAGCTGAGGAGAAAGCCCTGGGCTCCCAGCCTGCTCCCGAAGGCTGGCCACCAGGGACCCCAAAAAGGTCTGCCACTGGCCTTGTGTATGGGTCTTGGCTCATGACAGAAGGTGGTGCCTGGACCACTTTCCTCAGCCGGAGAACTGAGCCATGTGGCCTTAGAGACACACGGGAGACGGAGCTCTGAGCTGTGCATGGCAGGGATGGGCCTGCCCGAGGGAGCTGAGCAGCCACCGCCCCAACCGCCTGCCCGGCCCCAGGTTCTGCACTGTTTGAAGAGCATCTTGCCCACACTTAAACCCTGTCCATTCTCCATCAGGGGTGGGTGTGAACAACGCAAAGAATGAGCCTCATTAAAAACCCCAGGGGTCTGCCCCAGGAGCATTGGCAAGCGGAGTTTCCATGTGGCAGGTACCCTGGGAGGCTGGGGGGAGCTGAGCAGCCTCCGGAGGTGGAGGAGAGGCTGTGGCAGGTTGAGGTCAGGTCCAGGACAGGGCAGCACCAGGAGCCTGAGTAGCTAGGCCTGCACAAGGTTTGCTTTGGGCCCTGCCAGGGGAGGGCGGAGGGAAAGGGTGTCACTTCAGGACTGCTACTTGGAGAAGGGCAGGAAGCCTTCTGGGCACTGGGCCAGCTCAAGGCAAGAACTAACTCCTGCACTGAGGAAGGGGCAACAGGCCGGGGAGTGCGGTAGGTGGAGGAGCCGGCAGGATGCACCCTGTTCCTCACAACCCCCACAGCCCCATGCCGTGCTTCTGTCCCTGCAGCAGCCCAGAAGTCTCTCCCGCGGCAGGAGGGGCCAGGGGCTGCATGGGGTGGCTCGGGTGCGCTTGGGGAAGCTTAAGGGGCCTGGTGCTTTTGAAACACAGATTTCTTTTGACTATATCAGCAGCACACAGTGCACGTAATGTGGGGAATGCAGAATCCTCTGAAGAAGGGAGTAGACTACAACCTCGCCATGCAGCCCTGCCCACGCTAACGTTCTGAGAAACATACGCTCCAGTCTCCTATCTGAAGCCCCTGGGCCTGGAGTGTTTTCTGATTCAGAAAGCTCCGGTCTGGGATGGGGTAAGGCATGCGTACCGTGCCATCCCCAGTGGTGCTGGGGACAGTCACCTGCAGTCAAGCGCATTGATGTCTCTGCAGTGAAGCAATAGAAACACATACCCATTCGGGTCAGGCTTTGCCATGAAAGGGGTTAGAAGAAACTGCAGGTTTGCTGGTGGTTTGGGGAGAGGGGATCTCAGGTAGAGGATGGGGGCCACTGTGGAGGCTCCAGGAGCAAAGCTCAGAGTCACTGGTCCCATGAACTGTGGTGTGCAGTGCCCAACATGGCGCAGAGCAGCGTGCCTGCGAATTTCTGGAATTATCTAACCCCCAAACCCAGAGTATCAATATGTCCACATCTCCTACGTTGTTTTCAAATGAAATTGTGCAGCCTTCTGGTCCCTGCTATCCGGAAGCCTAGTTTGTCCCCTCTCAGGGCATATCCTTCCTAAATTGTCCAAGTGCATATAGGTTTACTCTCCAAAGAGACAGAGGTGAGATGGTGTCAGCCCAGCTTCTTAAAGATGGAAGGCAGCATAGGGGTGGGTAGGAGGCAGGGAGAGATAAAGAGGTTCCAGAAGGTGCTGCCTGCTGTTGCTTCTCCATGACATCTGGCTTTGCTGTTGGCGATAGGCCGACATCTCACAACTGGTCTGTGCACAGCTGCTGGGATGCCTGGCTGGCCCAGGTGCCTGTGATGTCCTCCTTTGTGCACTATACGTGTGCAATGGAACATAATTCAGCATTAAGAAATTCTGACACATGCCACAACATGGATGAACCTTCAAGACATGCTGAATGAAATAAGCCAGTCACAAAAGAATAACTAGTGTACTTATATGAGATTCTAGAATAGTCCAATGCATGCAATCATGGTTGCCAGGGGCTTAGGGGAAGGAGGAATGGGACATTATTGATTAACTAGAGGCCTGTTGCACAAAGATTCATGCAATAGGCGTTGCTTCCCCTGGCTGCTGGCATCAGTTTTCCTCCAACACCCAGGACCCAGGCAGCAGCAGAGCCAAGCCTTCAGCCTTCAGTGGAGCTAAATCTTCAGCCTTCAGGCTTGACTCCAACCACAGTCTTCAGTCTTCACTCTGTACCTGTGTATGCAAACTAACCTGCCATCTTTGTTGGTTTATTTGTATACTTATTCCTGATTGGCTGGCAGGCATCATGATTTGCAGTCAATTTGCATCTTTATCTTTTATTAGTGTAGATGGGTACGGAATTCTAGTTCTAGAGACGGATGGTGGTGATGGTTACATAGCAACAAGCATGTACTAAATGCTACTGAACCGCACACTGAAATGGTGACTTTTATGTTGTGTATACTAGTATTTTGACGCAATTTTAAAAAGTGGGAGTGTGCCATATAGTTTCTTTGGTGGCAGGTTGCAGAAAAGGAGAGTGCTACCTGGCTTAAGAAAATGATGGTGGCTAACTAATGGTAGCTGACAAGTCCGGCAAAGGCTTGGCTTTAGGATCCTGGCCCAGGCACAGGCGGAGCTCCAGGATGTTCTCTCCTGTCGTGAGACTTTCACCACGGTCTTCTCTCTCCCAGTGTGCCTTGCAAAGAAGGCTCAGTGGGTCTACCCATTGGGGGAAGGGCAAAAGCCTCTCTTCCAGGAAGTCTTAGTCTCAGGTGTCTTCTGTTCCTCTTTGGGTCATCGGCCTACACTCCAGCCAATCCCTTTGGCCAGGGCAAGGCAATTGACTGGCTTAGGCAGGGGGAATGTCGTTGGCAGCAAGGAATGAGAGTCACATTGGGATGACTCCTTATTCTGGCCATGAGAAGGAGATTATATAAGCACCTCTCTTTGCCATGAAACATTTTTCATATACTACATTTTTAATGACTTAACAATATCCAACTGTTTGGTTATATCCAAATGTATTCAACATCATCAACTACAAGGTAATTGGATTATCTATTAATCTGTTAACCAGGGAATTCCCTTTTTAATTAAGCAACATATAACGGGCGCATACTCTTTCACTAGGATGTGTCAGTACATCATGCCCGGAGAATGTAATTTCATATTATTATTTTTTTTTATTTATACTTAAAATAAATGAAAAGACTATGAAATATATATATATTTTTGTTTATTTATAAATAAAGCAGAAAGGAAAATACAAAATTACAAACAAATAGAAAAGAATACCAACAAAAAAATGGAAACATCGAATTAAAAAATTATAAATTTTACAAACAATTATAAAGATTACCAAAAAATATATTTTTTATTTTGATACACAATAAAAAATATTAAAAAGTTAACAATTACAGAACAATAAACAAAAGCACACACAAAAAAATAGAAATATTGAGTTTAAAAATTGAAATATAGATGTAAAAATTCAAAACTCAACTTCAATGTGATATATTTTAAAACAATTGTTGATACATAGTGCTACCTTACAATCCTGACACCAGTATGTAGATTCTTTCCTAACACCTTTTTTGTAGCAAGCTCGGTATTTCCTGGATTTAGTTTTTCCTATATCGCTTTTCATTTGTTCTGGAAAATGCCTTTCAACTAAGCATGATGGTTTAGATGTAGAGCTGCTTGTTGATGTCATTGGGTGGGTTTTCACTATATTGTTATCTACCAATTTCTCTACACACTCTATCAAAAAGTGTAATCGATCCAAATGACCATTATCTTTTTTGTACATAATATATGCATTGAAGCAGCACATATCAATTAATCATAGAAAAAAATTTTTTTTTGAAAAAAATTTTTTATAAAATTTTTTTATCCTATACGAGCAGCCGTGTAGGCCACCATAACTCCATCTCCCAAATCTACGCCACCCATATTCTTGTTATAATCCAGGACAACATTCAATTTTTCTTGCCTTCTTCCTCTCTTTTCAATCATTGTCTTTTCATCATTATGAATAGAACTGAGCATCAATACATCTCTTTTATCCTTCCATTTTAAAACCATAAGTTTGTCTTTGAATCTTACTATATGTTCATTTTTCTGTAATTTTTTTTTGTTTTTATTTCACTGGGGATTCCGACTCTGTTTATCCTCATTGTTTCAACAATGTCTGTATTGTTTTGACACAAGAGTTCAGCCAAATGTATTGACATATAGAAATTATCCAAGTAAATCCTATAT